GGGGGGCTGTAGATCATGACAAGCGTCGCAAAAACAAAATTACCTTAAGCTAGCTATGGTCGCAAATTTCGCAACTTAAGATTCAGGATGTATGTACAATACTATCAAACCAGGCCAGGTTCGCTCACAGAGCCAACGATCGCCACACAAATACATGGTAGGAAAAGTGTGTACAGAGTACAGAGGCCGTTGCTGTAATAATGTTGTTAGGCTCTTTGTCTTGCAATTCAGTGTGCAAGATCGATTCCCACGACCTGAGAATTGAAGATGCTGGATAGTGCAGTGTGTCTTCATCGGCTTCTGTCACGAATTCAAGATATTTAATGTTTCAGCAAGAATTTGTTTCACACAGCCCAGACTATAGTACTGAAAGTCAAGCCAAATCAACCTGCCTCACAAATTATCTAAATTGTGTAGACTTGCGTGTGCAACACAACAGCAGCAGCAACAACAAAAACAACAGCAACATCATCACCAAAGCATTAGACAAAAATAATGATCAATCCAAGAACACAAGAACTGTACCAACCTATGCCTAATGTATTCCATAACGTGTTGACCACAGCCAGCAGCAAGATCGTTCCCAGGTTGTTGAAGAAGGCGCGGTTGGGCATGTGGTATCCGGCATCGTAGATGATGGGAGGGAGGAGGAAGAGGAAAAATGTGTTGGCGTCAAGTGAATACTGCTCGCTGTCGGCGGTGCCGGTGTAGTACAGGGTCACGCCCACTAGGATACCAAGTGTGATGAGGAGACAGCTCTCGGGGAAGATATGCGGCAGTTTGTCGTAGAGGTGGAAACCTGCAGATGATTAAAAAAATGACTTCCGGTTAGTATTGAGGTACAGTAAGGTGACGTTCAGTATGGTATGGAAAGGTAATATATGAGGTGGTTTGCTTGCTTGAGAAAGACAATAACAGTCATTTAGTGCTGGGGGGAAGCAAGGCTGACTGGCAGAGACAACAGAGGGAAAGTAAAGAAGTAGGACCTACCAGCTGAACTAGCAACACGATAATACGGCCATCCATATAAGTGCCGAAGAGTGGAGGTATTACAAAGAGAGTAACACATACTAGATCTAGAAGAGACAAGGATACATACGACAGATGTTTCACACACCAAAGAAGGGGTAAACCACACCAACCAGAACACCCTCTAAACCCACCTACATCACACACATTCACGTTGGGCGGATCTCGTCCAACTGACAAAACATTACATGTACTAACTCTCATCGTCGTCATGGATCTAAATGATGTCACTATGTCTACCACAAGAGCACAATTGACGGAACTAAAGAGATGTGTTCACGTTCTTGAAAACGAGAAAACAGGATGTTAAGGGAATAAATATAGCCATTTCCCCACGCAAAATTTCTTGTAAGGACACAGTAGAATTCGTTCAGGTTGCAGATTTCCTTCAAAACGTAACAAAGAAGTATTTTCATTGAATGTTTTGCTGTCACTCTCAAAATCAAAAGGAAATCTTCAGAACAACTCTATCTCCTTCCCAAATGTTCAGCTTTGTTTAATTCAACCAGAGACTCTGCAGTAATACTGTAAACCCTCTCTGATTCAACCCTTTGATTTAAATTAACCCTCAAACATCCGAAGTAAAAGTGAACATAAGAAAGAAACACTCAAGTCTGAGTTCATGAATATCCAACAGTTGCGAGTTAAATGTTAACACAGACAGGCACACAAGCCATGAACACCCACGTTGCGAAGGAACAAGCTCGACTAGACAGAGCTAATTTCTTTCCAAAACAACGACATTGAGATCTAAATGTCTACCTCGTGCGGTGGCATCACCTTCAGTCCGCCAGAGCAGCATGGCTTGACGATAGAGAGGGAACAACCGACCCTCAGTCTCGCACCTCTAGCCTCCTCGGCTTTCGAATTTCCTTGTCTCATCGACTCAGACCAGCCTCTAGTCTAGTCTACAAAGCCTACATGTACACCGTTAGAACACAGCCGCCCTGGCAACAGCCACTACAACTAGGCCGCATCCCCAGCGCAAGTGTTTGCATTTTCTTTCACCCTTGAACTTCCCCCGTGAAATGTCGGCATTGAGTTCTCTCGAAGCTTTAAAACAGACGGGGGTTCCGTTCCGATATCATGCAGTTCTACCAATATGAAGTAGGTCTTCCTCATAGGCTCTACATACTCAGGAGTAAGTCTTTTAGGATGAGGAAGAATAAAAGGATACACATACACAAAAAAAAGTCGTAGGAAATGTGTGTACTAGAATTACGAACCAACTGACAGATACATGTATATGAAACCGTTCCCTACGAGTCGATGTTGTCGTATTGTAAGGGGTGTAAAAGACAGCAAAACATTTGTTGGGGGAGACGGTGGGGGGGGTGCTCCCAGGGGAAAGGCAGGAGAGGAGGGGGGCCACGAGACAGACAGTAAGAGAAAGGAAAATGAGGAGAACAGGGGGCGCGCGCGGAGATAGACAAAGAGACGGCGATAGCGATAGAAAGAAACAGAGAGGGAGAGAGAGAGAGAGAGAGAGAGAGAGAGCTAGGGGAAGAAAATGGGGCAATGCTAAGGCTGACCAAGACAGCATGTTTCAATATACACATGGTGAGACAGAGAGCTCCGTGTAGAGCATTCTCTGAACTGCACAGGCTGAACTAGGAAAAAAGCAACATCCTCAAAACCCAACAGCCTAACAACAAACAAAATATACGCCAAAAACAAACAGCGAGACACAATCGCCTCTTTACCATGCGCTCGAACAAACACAATAAGGGCTCTCTTTCGGAACGAGTCTTCGTCTGGCCTCCTCACACAGAGACCTCTTACGTCACAACAGCGAGCCCGCCCCGCTCAGCGTCTGCGGGCGAGTAACATAACGGGTTTCAGGCTGACCTAGTTCGCCCTTTGGCCCCGAGGTCAAACAGCGACACCTTTTCCACAACTGAAGTATGTACTTTCGCGGCACACGCGCCCACCATCCACGCTGTGTGCCACACCACCTCACGTTTCAACAAGGTGGTTTCCAACACGAATTTCCGTTTCCATCAGAGTCGGGGGAAACAAAGATAAAAGCGAGGCGGGAAGCCAGGAAATGGCTGCAGCGAAGAGTACATTTTGTCCATCCCTGTGGGGTTAACAACACGCAATCGATCTTAGAAATGAGGTCAAGCAGAAACTGGGGACGTCGGCGCTCACGCGCCCTTGCCAGCTTCCAGTCCGTTGTCCGCTACTGCGTAATAACGTGCTC